AACAGGTCTAGTCTAGTCTTCTTGAGGTTCGACCGATTTCTGACGATAGTAAATGGACCGCTATTAGTTCTGTCATCTAACTCGTCCTCGTTATAGGTGCGCCTCGAACGCAAGATTTCTATCTTCTTTGTGTCCTGCCTCCATTGCTGATCACGTAATTTGATCATCTAATCATCCAAGGGTGTTCTTAGACGCCTGAATGCACGTTGGTGATCCAGAGAAACCCAGTACGTAATTCTTAAATTGACCGTCTTCTCTTGCAGCCGTCTTCGACGGCTGCTTTCAGCAGAAATCAGTTTGTTAATCGAGTCCACTGTCGCGTTTGGAAGCCGCTCGAAACGTGATCCCAAAGGAGGACCTTGTACATCCTTCGCTCCATAGCTCTATTTATGATGAGCAATTTGTTTTCCTCGAATTAGCACCGAAACAACATTCAGCGCCGTAGATCATGGCGGGAAGGGTGGTTGAATGGAACAGTTCCCTTTTCACCCTTCTGGAAAGCTCACTGTGGAGTGGTGATCTCGTAATACGGTTAAAGCTGGCTAATGTCGCCTTCCTTCTGCTGATAAGTTAACGACTTAATGCGGTTCACCGAATGATCATGGTATACTCAGCTGAAGACTTCTTCGAATTGCTCACCATTCGCGTAGGAAGAGCCCTCTAGCCATTGTCCATTCTGCACAAATTTTGTCTCTTCTTCGTCTATACTGAGACCGCTATGTTTGTTTAGCAGGCTGAATAGTGACTCCAAGCCCGAGGCAAAGAGTGCTTGTGAGTTACATATCCTTGGCGCACTTCTCGATGGATACTAATGCGACGTGGCTCGCAGAACAGCTTCAGCTGAGGTGAAAACCAGTGCTCAATTCTTCGATGATGTTCACATAATCAGGGTTTACGTTATGTTCATGCAAGACGTGTAGACAACCATCAATTGGATCAATTGAATGCATTCATGTAATCCGTGGAAACAAAACGAAGTGCACCTGATATTCGTTGAACTTCTTCTTCAGCTGCTAGATAACATTTATATTGCCGATGATAGAAGGCCATCTAAAAAATTGCTACGTTCCCTACTTGTTATTAGTTGGAAGTCATTCCGAATATGTTCAGAATTATGCTGGTGAAGACCTCGTGGATTTACGACCGGAGATTAATTGGTCGGTGGTTCTTGAAGTTTCGAAAATGACCTTTTTTCAGGAGAAGAGTAGTTCTTGATGTCTTCCATACTTCATACGTCTGTTTTACCTGATGTATTCCTGATAATTAAAATGTTCTGGTTCTATGGCTTCTTTGCCTGGCTATAGGATGATCTTTGATGTTTCGGATTGCCCACTCAACCTTGTCTCAGGTGACTTCATTGGCTTCTCTGGTAACGTATTGAAATTTCTGATTCATGACTACTTTGAAAGAGTACAGACTGTTGTAGGGCCTTGTAAACATTGTGTTTATCCGATTGTGATCAGTAGTATTTACTCCACCTTAGTCGTCTCTCAGTGCACTCGAATCCTCTGCCTTAGGCAAATATGCCTTTCCACAGGTCCAAGGCTTTTTCCTTCCGTAACCTTGACTACTTCCTTGATTACTCAAGTTCTCCTGCAACCTAAATAGTCTTCCTTCCAACTATCTTCGAAACTCTTTGAGGAATACAGTGCACACGTTGTCAATTTTGTCTTCGGCCTTCACTCGGGCTCTTATGGTCATTAGGTGCCTTGATGAAGACCT